TTCCACTCTCTTCTGTCTGCAAAAGAGCGGCTGAGCCTCTTTTGGGAATATGGATGTGCCAGTTCCTTGTGCTCTGCCTTCCAGACAGACACAAAGCGATGATCTTGGTATGATAGACCAAATTTGCAACCAGATGGCTGCAACATTGACATCACTTCTTCAGGAGATTTCCTCTTAGGGGCTCTTGGTGCTGCTGCCTTGGAAGAGGAAGCACCTCCCTCAGTGCTTGGGGGCTCAACCTGTGGCACTTGAGCCTCTCCAGCCTCCATGTCCTGTGCTTTCTCCTGCTTTTTCTCCTGCTCTTTCTCCTGCTTTTTCTCCTGCTCTTTCTCCTGCTCTTTCCCCTGGTCAAGATCCATTCCAGTTTCCCTCTTCTGTTCAGCTTCTTCTCTCCTTTTCTCTTGTTGCTTCCTAGCAAAGTTCCTCCAGAATACATTGTCTTTAGGTTGTGCCTTGGGCTTGGCCTTGGCCTTGGCCTTGCCCTTGGCCTTGGCCTTGGGCCTCTTCTTCTTGCCTTCTATTGGCTCATCTGCAGCCCTCTTGAGCAACTTCTTCAGCCTTAGCCTCCTTTTCTGCTTGTATTCCTTCAAATCATTTTGGTTCCCATCTTGGTTGTCCAGTTCTGATATGACTTCTGAAAAGTCAGTGTCATAACCACCTGCTTCATCTTCTTTGTTGGCCTTTGCTTTCAAGTGGCTTCTTGCCAGCTCCTGATGCTGTGGGGCAACCAACATGTCCACCAATTGGTTCCACAAGCTTTCCTTGGACTGGTTCTTTTTGACTTCCATGCCACTGAAAAGCCCCATGAGCTTTTGGAGCTGTGAGTGTGTGATAGTTTGGCCACACATCAAGGCTGCTGTCTCCAGTGGCAATGGGGTGGCCCCTTCAGTGAGTTTCCAGCCTATTGGCCCCCTCCTCTCATTGACCATGCATGGTGTAACTGGCAGCTCAAGCCAGTCATCCAAGTCAACAACATAGAAGAATCTGAGCTCTTGCCTCTTTGGCTTGCAAACATAGCTCCTGCCACCATCCTGGTCCAGGACGACAGACATTACAGCACCCAGGAATCCAAATTCTGCCGAAGCACACACTTTCAGCATCAGGCCAGTGGACTGCTGGGCCACAATAGATCCTGGTCTGGCCAGAAAGCTGACCCAGGCTGAGTTGACATTGCACTCCTTATATGTGGAATTTTTGTTCTCCCAGAACTCAAACAGCCACTGTGTAGCCACACTGGACTGAAACAGTGCATGTGGGCCAGGTGTTGGCCATGTATGGCTCTTGTCCTTCTTTTTCATCAACTTCTGAATGCTGAGAGGAACCTTTTTGCCATAGCTTTTCATGCTGTCCACTACAGAGCCCCTGCACTTCTGGTCCCATGCAGGCCCAAGTGCCTTGTCTCCTGGATTTGCAGAGACTACAGGCACTTTCCTTTTCTCCAAGACTTTGGACCTCAAGGCATTGGCCATTATGGTTGTGTTTCCGAAGGTGTTGGCTTTGGACTGTCGAAACAAGTCTCTGCCAAATTGGTGTATATTTTCCACCAATCTGCTGTCACCCAGGCTCTTGGCAACAACCATCACCAGCTTGAGGGCAGCACTCTCTGTTGTGAAGACAGCTTTGTTCCTGGCATCTTGCTCAAAAGCCATGTAGATGGTGCGAACCATTGGGCTCTGCCTCCAGTGCAAAAACTCCAGTGGCTGCACATTTGCACCTGCATTGCTGGCACTCTCAGCTTGAAGTAGTATCTGCCAGTGCCTCTTGGCTTTCATGTGAGCATCAAGTGCCACTTCTGGTGAGGGTGCTGCCACATGCCCATACATCATTGGAGGGAGGCAGTGGCCAGCTGCCAGGCTCATGGCCCTTTGTTCAAGGAGGTTGTGGAAGAGTTCTTCTTGCCACTCTAATGCCATTTCATGTGACCGGAATTCAGGAGTCAAATGCTGTAGGCATCTCTCATCATGCAATGATGTGAAAATCATTTCTATCAGCTCCTGTTTCCAAAAGCCACTCCAACAGCAAGAGATGTTGTGCTGCAAGACATGTTCTGGTGCCACAATGTCTCTAGCCCTGGCAGCAAAAAACTTCCACGAGGCTTTCCCCACTGACATAATACAGTCCTTGATTGCAAGTGCCTTGTCAGTAATAAGTTGAGGTGCCAACTTCCAGGACCCCTTTCTTTTTTTCAACTCACTCAGCTCCTTCCTGGGGTCCTGGTGCTGCTGTGGTGGGCCTTCATCAACTTCCTTCTCCGAGGCTTCCTCACCCACACCAGTGTCAGCAGCATGCTCCATGATCATCTTAGTGGCCACCAGCTCCCCACTGTAGAATGTCATGGTCTCGAAAAATGAGAACCACCTCATCAATTTGATGAGGGGACCTTTTTGTTGGAAACTCTGCAGATCCTTCAGACTGTCAAAAAGGTCCAGCAACCCTGCAAAGGTGGCAGGTTCCTTGATTCTCTTTTCCTGGCAGATTCTGTGCTGGTATCTTTGAAACATCTGGCTGTAGGCTGATTCTGTGGCCATGAAGTCAGCATGTTTGGCCTTCTTCTTGAAGAACCATGCACTGCTCCCAAATGGACCATAGTTAATGTTACACACCAATGTTAACTCAAGCACAGTCGTCCAGCCATTGTAGCTGCACCTCTTCAGGGCTAGTTTAAGATCATTCCAAGCCCTGTGGAATGGATCAAAAAGGGCTAGGAAGAGGATCGAAAACTCTGGGTGGTATTGGAGGTAGTTCACTGCACCAATAATGTTTGGGCCCTGATCTGATATCGAAACAAGGCATGGCAGCTTGCCCAGGTCCATGTCCACTGGCACTTCTGGGACAATTTGTTCATTCCCATCCTCTAACTCCTCAAAGATGTATGCCCTGTCACCTTCCAATCGATATTGGCTGGCAGTCAGAGGTCTGCAGTGTAGACCAGGTGGGATCTGAAAGCTCTGCAGAGACAAGCCAATGCTTTCCAAGGCTGATGACAAAGCCTTAATCTCCTTGAACCCTTCCAGCCTGGTAAGTCTCCTGCTCTTTGCAAGGGGAATAAGGTCATCTGCCAGTTCAGAGACCATAGTTGCAATCATCTGCTGGGACATCAGGTAGCATGCTTTGTGTAGGTGGGGGCTGTAAGCCACAGACATCAACACTTCTTTGCCACCATAAGTGCTGGGGTCCCAGCATACAGAAATTTGGCTGACCCCTTGAAATTCTTTCTCCAATACCTTCTTGCGCAGCAAACAATCCAGGTAGTTTTCATAGACCATGAGCCTGCCAGTGGCACCTCCCAGCTCTTGGTGAGTTGATGCTATCTCCCTCCTGTTTTTCTTGGCCTTCTCAAGCTTGAAGAGTAGCAGGAGCTTATTCACTGGATCTGCAATCCTCCTGGCATGGCCACTTTTGCCTCTCAGGACAGGAAGGCTTTGTAGTTGCTCTCCACTTTTCTTGAGTGCCAAAAGGTCCAGCAATTTGCCACAAGCCACCACCCACTCTGGCAGCATTGGCTTGAGAAGGCAGTCCCACAGCTTCTGCCCATGGACCTTGATCTTTTGGTGGCAGAAAATGTAAGCAAAATAGGTCAGAACATCATTCAATGTTGCTGTCCCCACTGCAGAAGTGATACATTTGTTTTGCCAAGTCCTGACCCCCAGCTTCTTCCACAGTTGGATTGCACCAGGGCAAAGATCTATGAACTGTGCCCAATTTCTGCATATACTTTGCTCTGAGAAAAGAAGCTCTTGGCTCACCAGAACACCATTGGGCTTCACCAGCATGGCCATGAATGGCCTCCTCACATCAGCAGCCTGGAAAGCCAGTGTCACCATCTCCAGAAGCAGTGTCAAGGTCTTGACCTTCACAAGGGCCTTCATGGCTTTGTTTTTCAAGATCCACAGGAGCAGCACTATCAGTGCTCTGCTTTCAAAGGTGTGGTCCTGCCACTGGTCACCATCACTTTCTTTCCCTCTGTAGTGGAACCCCTCTATGGGCACTTGCTGGCCCTGAAGCTCAGCTTGGATTGATGCCTTGTTGTTCCTCAGGAATTTCCCTGGGTCCATCTTCAATCCAAGGTATGCATGGACCCTTGTGAAGAGCCACTCAGGCTTGTTTTCATTGTTGATGTATGCTCTTTGCAGCAGGGTGTCCAAAGTTGCAACTCCAAATGGCAGCTGCAGCCCAGTGCCTTCACCAGGCAACTGTTGGGCGCCTTCCTCTTCACCCTCCACTATCATTGCATCCTCTTCACCCATGTCCATAGCTCCCCTACCAAGGCTCAACTACCAAAGGCTCCAACTACCAAAGGCTCTTATATTATAAACTATAGGGCCAGCTTAAAGATTCATTCTCAGTCTTACTTGTTGGTGCATACTGAGTTACTGGCCATACTGGGTTACTGGCCTGCACATGCATACTTGCTTACTTTGCTTGTTACTAAGTAGGGAGCAATGCTGTCAATGGCTGGTGTGATGTTCCCATTGCATGAACAGTGTGATGTGTGCCACTGTGTGTGTACTTGTACTTTCTCAGTGTCATGTCAACTCATAAAAGGGGCTTAGTTAATCAATTATTGAATTATTGAACTATTGCTGAGAAACACTATTGAATTTGTGCTGACATATATTATCAGGTCACTTTGCCAAAGCCTGCCACCCCACTCAAAAGCTTGAGCTTCAATGCTCATTGAATGCCCATGACACAGCCAAAGTGCCACAGCCTTGCTGTTATCATGACACAAACAAAGTAGCACTAACAATGCAAGGATTTGAAACTGCATTCAATCATTTGCTGAAAACAAGAGCTGGGGCCAGTACAGGCCCACCAAAGCCCACATCCCCATATAAATATAGGCATTCATAGCCATGATACTGCCTCAGGCAATGATGGCAATGATGGCCATGCCCCAACTCCACAGCCACAACCAGTGGTTGTAAACACCTGTTTCCCAACACCAAATCTCAATTCACTGACAACAATTCATATAATTCACTGACAAGTGTCACCCCTCAGTCTGATGATGATGAAGGATCAGTGCCAGCCTGAACCATCAGTGCCAGTCCCATCCCCACAACAACCCTTACTACCTCTCAGAA